TATGCTTCTTTACAGTTCCCTAAGGTGCCTAGATTAAAAGCAGAATAAATTAGGGATTTCTGCTTCTGGGAAGATGAAACAGGTACACTTTTCCCTGTTCTTCCCAGTAAGTATAATTAAAAATCCTGAACATTATATAAAAACAAGCACAAGAAGACTCTGAAAGGTGGAAAGAAGGCCAACTGGTTAGAGACTGGGACCTGAGTTACATTACAATAAATTCCATGTGTTTTCTTTTTGCCTCATATATCCCAAAGTGGGAACTAAAGATGCTAGCAACCCAGAAATGCCACTAGATACAGACAAAACAGCTCCAACAGAAACCTGCTCTGTCTAGCCAAATGACTAGGAAAGAGACACCCTAGCAAGACAGAAACTTACACAAAAACTAATATTCTATAGTCAAACACCAAAAAAAAAACTGTAGCCTCAACCCCATCCATGCTGCAAAGACTGAATGGGGAGTCTAGACTTCCTTTCTCATCAGGCCATAAGAAGTTGGGACTAAAACAGCAGATTTGACATTCATGTTATTGGTGTCCTGGAAGGGGAGAAGAAAGAAGGCAGGGCTGAAAAAGTACTTGATGAAATAATGGCTGAAAACTTTCAAATTTAGACAAAAAGGCAACTTCCCCCAACAACAACAACAATAAAAACAGCATTATGAAGCCACAGACTTGAAGCTGAGCTATCCTCAAACATGTTAAACCCAAAGAAATTCATATCAAAACATACTATAGACAAACTTCTAAAAACTAAAGACAAGAAAAAATCTTGAAAAGAGTGACAGAGAAGAATACCTTACCTATGCTATAGGAGAAAATGAACTGGAATGACAGGATTTCTCCTCAGGAAACCTGAGGGCCAGAATGAAGTGACACAACATTTTTCAAGTTCCGAAAGAGAACTGTCAACCTAGAATTCTATATCCAGCAAAAATATCCTTTAGGAATGAAACAGAAATCATGACACATTCTCAGATGAAGGTTAGAGACTTTGGGACCTTAAAGAAGTTTTCTAAACAGAAAGGAAATGATGAGGTGTGGCTGGGAGGATGGGCTGGTTACGTGTCTGGCTCTTGATTTTTGGCTCAGCTCATGATCTCACAGTTCATGAGACAGAGCCCCATGCTGGGCTCTGTGCTGACAGCATAGAGCCTCCTTGGGATTCTCTCTCCTTCTCTCTCTCTGCCCCACCTCAGCTTGTGCTCTATCTCTCAAAATAATAAATAAACATGAAAAAAATTTAAATAAAAAAAAGAAAGGAAATGATGACAGAGGGAATCTTAGCATGTTAGAAAAGAAGAGAAATGTTGGGGCGCCTGGGTGGCGCAGTCGGTTAAGCGTCTGACTTCAGCCAGGTCACGATCTCACGGTCCGTGAGTTCGAGCCCCGCGTCGGGCTCTGGGCTGATGGCTCAGAGCCTGGAGCCTGTTTCTGATTCTGTGTCTCCCTCTCTCTCTGCCCCTCCCCCGTTCATGCTCTGTCTCTCTCTGTCCCAAAAATAAATAAAAACATTGAAAAAAAAAATTTAAGAAGAGAAATGTAAAGAGTAAAAATATGAGTAAATACATTTTTCTTCTCCTTTTTGTTTCTCCTCCTATTATGTTTTATGGTGGGGCAAAAATTGTAATACTGTCTGATGTGGTTATAAATGCATGCAAAATGCATATTTTAAGTTGAGCAGGGAAAAGTACAGTTGTGGGTTAAATTTGTCCCCCTTGGGGTGCCTGGGTGGCTCAGCTGGTTAAGCATCCAACTTTGGCTCAGGTCATGATCTCAATGTTTCTGGGTTCGAACCCCACGTTGGGTTCTGTTCTGACAGCTTGGAGCCTGCTTCGGATTCTGTGTCTTCCTCTCTCTCTGCCCCTCCCTGTCTCTCTCTCTCTCTCTCTCAAAAATAAAGAAACATTTAAAAAATTGCTTTTTAATTTTTCCCCCTCAAAAAAGATATGTTGAAGTCCTAAGCCCCAGTACCTCAGAATGTGACCTTATTTGGAAATAGGGTCATTGCAGATATAATTAGTTAAGATGAGATATACTGGAGTAGAGTGGGCTCCTAATCCACTATGAATGATGTTCTTGTATGAAAATGGCCATGTAAAGACACAGAAATACAAGGAGAACCTCATGTCATGACAAATGCAAAGACTGAAATTATGTGAATAAATGTGTAGGAATGCTAAAGATTGCCAACAAACCACCTGAAGCTAAGAAGAATTAGGGATGGATTCCCCTACAGGTTTCAGAGGAATCATGGTCATACTGACACTTCGATTTCTGACTTCTGGCTTCCATTACTGTGAAACAATAAATAAAACTATAAACTAATATCCTTCATAATTATAAATGTAAGAATCCTTAAGAAAATATTAACAAGTATCATTTGACAACATATGAAAACAATTTTACACCATGACTAAGTGTGGTTCATTCAGATTACAAAGCTTGTTCAATATTTGAAAAGTAATCAATGTATTAACACCACACTAACAGACTACAGGAAAAAAATCATATGATCAAATCAATTGGTAATCTCAAGAAATCTACAAAAGTCTTCTAGAACTATTAAGTTCAGCAAGGTGGCAGAATACAAGATAAACATAAAGAATATTTTATTTCTATATAACAGCAATTAACAGGTAAATAAAAAAATTTAAAAATAAAATACCATTTACAATTGCTCAAAAAATGGAAACTCCAAAATGCTGGCCAAAAAAAAAA